GTGACAGAACTGAGCAGCGGTTCTGTGTTGTTTTCCTTGTATATTTCTGGGGAGTGGGAGGTGCATAGGGGAACTTAGCGCTGGTGCGGTCAGAGAAATGGTTAATTGCATCCCGGGATTTGTGTTGGGCTTAGGGCTTTTACATTTAATGTGGTTATTGAAGTCAGTAATTACCATATTTAAGAATATGTCAGATCCCTATGCATAAGTGGCCATTAGCTACTCAGAATTGCAATAATTGCAGAATCACAGAATTGTTTGGATTGGAAGGGACCTTAAAGCCACCCAGTGCCACCCCTGCCATGGCAGGGACACCTTCCACTGTCCCAGGCTGCTCCAAGCCCTGTCCAACCTGGCCTTGGGCACTGCCAGGGATCCGTCAGCAGCCACACCTTCTCTGGGCACCTGTGCCAGGGCGTTTCCACCCTCACAGCCACGAATTTCCTCCTATTGTCCCATCTAACCCTGCCCTCTGGCAGCGAGAAGCCCCATTCCCTGTGTCCCCGGTCCCTCTCCAGGAGCCCCTTTAGGCTCTGAGCTCTCCCTGGAGCCTTCTCCTGTCCAGGTGAGCACCCCCAGCTCTCCCAGCCTGTCCCAGAGCAGGGGGGCTCCAGGCAGTTCTGCAGAGTTTGTTGTATTTTACAGCCAAACCACGGTCAGTCAACTGTGCTGCTGTGTTGTTTATTTCAGGTATGTGGGCACATTCGATGACAGTTCAAGATTACCAGGATCTCATAGACAGAGGATGGCGAAGGTACATTGAAAAAGAAAATACAAAGCCATGTTGTCAGTTGATATAACAGTTAGAATCCACATTTAAGGTTTAGATCTATAGATACACATATATCCATGAGTAATTGAGCTATTTGTTCAGTGCTCTGTTACCTTTTGTAACATGACTTTCAAACAGGGAAATATTCTGTGATTTTAGAAGGACAATGCAGTCAGCAAAGAACTGAAGAACTTGCCCTTTGATATTTCATCGTGACATGTTTTGATGTGATTTTTATAAAAGAAGCTTCTTCATTTATTTTGTAGTATAAACAACAACAAAAAAATCAATGCATATTTATTACTCTTTTCAGAAGTGGAAAATATGTCTACAAACCTATCATGAATCAAACATGTTGTCCACAATACACAATAAGGTAAGAAACTCAAAGTACACTTTTGTAAGGGATTTGACCACTTCAAATATGTTCCACCATTTGTGTTTGCTGCTTGAAATAGATCATACTTGAGAAGTTAATCTACTTCTAATGATACTTTGAACAGTAAATATATTCTCTTGGGTCTGTGCATAGGGACTTCAGCAGCTGTGGGATATTTTTCTGTAGGGAAATAACTTTGTGACCCACAAACACTGCTTTAGCAGCCCAAATAAGAGAGGCTTACATTTGTATTTTAGTAATTCTAGAGATAGACAAAAAAAACATGCCGTAAGGACTGATATTATTCAGTAGAAGACAATGAAATTTCATTATCTCAAAAGCGTTGATAAAACATTTGACCACTCAATATAGAGAACCTTAAGAAATAAATAGAGATTACAATGTAAATTTTGTAAGTGGCTCCTTAAACTTTTTTTTTTCCTGAAACAGTCTTTCACAAAAGAAATGGTTTTTTTGTTCTTTTTAGGTGCCGGGCTTTGCATTTTCAGGCCTCCAAGTCCCACAAGAAGGTTCTGAAGAAAATGTTGAAATTTATTTCCAAAGGAGATGTTTCGAAGGTAGCGAGCGAAGGTAAGAAACACTGAGTGTTTGAAAACCAATGCTGACGTGTGGAAGGAGGATTTCAATACCTGCTTGAGTGGTCAGATGGCAAATGGGCTTTGAATTCTGTGTGTACACCCCTGGCTGGGCTGGGTCTTGAGCACTTCAGTAGCCCAGAAACCAAATTGTTCAGGGGGCTGAGGTTATTGAAGAAAATATTTCCTTGATTTTTCCATTGACCAGCTCATTTTCCTGGGCATGTCCTCACTTTCTAGCTGGGTGCTGAGAGAACTAGGTGCTGTTTTTACTTCTATAATGAAACTGATAATCTGGAGAGGACTAACTGGTGGCACAAAAAAGGAAGAGCAAACAGAGAGTGATTTTCCAGTTACCTTCCATTTATACAGCACCAAATCCAGCAATTCTTCGTGGTGGTGAAACTTGTATTGGTTCTGAATCATTATAATCTGCCTCTTTTGTATGTGTGGTATGCTAGATTTGTTTGTTATTTGTTTGAAGTAGTTTATTTGTTATTTATTTGATAGTTATTTATTTGAAATATTTGACTGTTCTGTTTTAGTGGAGGAAATAAAACTGTTCTTATAAATGAATTGATGTTCATA